AAATTTGCTATTTTAACCTTTTGATATTGATTTACTAAAATATTTGCCGACTGGATATCATGATGAAGGATCTAATTATAACAAATTTTTTTTTTTTTTTTTTTTTTTTTTTTTAGAAAAATATATATAAAAAAAAAGAGACAGATTCAAAAATTAACGATTGCATTTGCTTACCTTACATTCATGGAGATACGCGACGCCACGACAAATATCTAAAGCAAATTTTATTTTGGTTTCCCAGTTCATCATATCTCTAAATTTGGTATAATATTCATGTAAGTTTCCATATTCCATCCATTCAGTAACCAAATAAAATTTGGAATCATCTTGAGCCACACCAAAAAATCTTATAATATGATCAGAATTTTTTAACTCTTTTAGAATATTGACTTGTACTCTGATTTCAATTTGAGTTTGAGAAGATGCATTATTTGAAAATTCTTTAAATGAAACTTCAGTGCAATCTTTGGATGATGTTCGTTTTTCAATCCTCTTTGAAGGAGAAACATTTGTCCTTCGATATTGACTGCCATCAAGCAATGGTTCGTTCTCTTCTAGGTTTTTAAAATCAAATGGATCCAAATTTTTTTTTTGATGCTTTTGATATTCTTTGTTTTTCCCGGCTATTTGATCCATTCCGTTGAGGAAATCTTGTTGGTCATCAGAGACGCCATAAACATAAAATAAGATATCTGCCACACCATCCTTTATTGTTATCAAATCATTTCGAGATGCCACAGTAATAGAAAATTGTAAATTACTCATATATCCGTCAAATTCCTTCGTAAGTTTATTAAAAGTTTCGTTGATATCACTCGTTTGAAAAAATCTTTGAAGTCTGTTTAAATGACTAATATTCTCAATAAAATTTCTGATTTCTCTTATACAATCTATAAACGTTTTAAACAATTTTAGATTTTCTTGTTTAGAAAAAATTGTTTATTTTCAGTTTTTCTAATATCTAAATCTTTGACCGTAGCATTTGCACTGTTAACCCTTTCACAAAGGATACCACATAATTTTTTATTATATTCGGCCTTTTCATACAATAGTACAATTTCATTTCCCAATGAAAAGAATGATTTGATTATTGGACAAAATTCTTCGAAACTTTGAGCTATACAATGTGCCCCTTTTACCGCGGAACGAAATTTCAAACCGCGACTGTTTAATTCCAATGTACTTTCACAATCATTCTTTGTTCTTTCATTATCTAAATTCATTTTACTTAATTCACTAGTTATTCCATTATCATCTTGTGGATACATTGACGGTGAAGGACAAGGAGAAAGTGAAGGAGAGGGAGAAGGAGATAGAGATGAAATAGAATTCGTATCTACATCCAAGTTGTTTTTGCTCTTCGATCGTCTTTTATTTCTACTAAACATCGTAATCAAGCGGGAAAATAAAAAGAAATTTTATATCGTTAACATTCGACAAAATTCTGTTTAATTAAATAACATTCCGGAGTTTTATCGCCGCATTGCAGGAAAAATATATATATATATATATGCATATCATTATGCAATATCCAAAAATGGGTCAAAATAAAAACATTTTAAAATTGACGATTTTTTTTTGGAATGATCAAAAATAGAATATTCACATGCATGCTTCCGAATGAAAGAAATTTTTATTCATTGTTTTATTTTACTAAAATTATGTTACACAAAACTATTTTAAAACTCCGAGAAATTAATTTTTCGGACTAATTAATCAGATACGATTTTTCATTAACTGCTGCACACCTTGATGAATTCCATTGAGAAATCGTTTCTTTTTCCAAGAAAAAAAATAAATAAAAAATTCAACTTTTTTTATAGACAAAAAAAAAAAGTTATTGTCAATTCGGTACTTAAAATAATAACGATTTAGGAACGTTAACGGGAAAGTTTATTCGACGAAAATTATCATGAAAACTGTATATAGTATTATAAAAACTAGGATTTTTTGGAAGGATTAATTAATTAATTAGATTTGAAAACGCATCCTATGATCACAGATTACCTCGAATATTGTATAAAAAAGATGATTCATACTCAAAAAAGGATGTTAGGAATTAAGACGAGTATTTAATATTTGATATAATTTGTGAAATCGATTATTTCTACTCATTATAAAGTTATCTATTTGATCTTTATTAGTCCATTTCCTTTTAAATAAACAAATTTTTGATATTTTGGGTCTTGTAATATTTATCGCGTCTCGAAAATTTCTCATTAAAAAATTTGATAAAATTCAAGATTTTTTGTTTCACGTGCATTTAATGAAAACCATGGCTTGTGAATTTTTAATTAAGTTAGAATAAGAATAAGAATAAGAATTTATTTCCTCTAAATAAATTGTTTGTCATTCCTTAATCTTGGATTAAGAAACAAAATGTTTTTGATCGATTCGGCTGCAATCACTGGTTTGAATTTCTGGTTACAATAAACTTTTTTTTATTTATTTTGGATTACTTTATTCTTTCCTTTTATACATGTTAAGAAGTTTGTCGTGCTGCTCCCTTTATAAATGGTGATGTAAAAAATACTTCCATTAAATGCTTGTGAAACATTCCAAATGAAATCGACGAATCGCGAACTGCATCTTCAACAGGGAGAATTGTAAATGTTGATAAATTAACTTTATAGTCTTCCAAAGGTGTCAGGGCTTCATTTTCATAATTAGAACCACTGTGTGTATTTGAATTTTGTAATTTATAAAGTTTTCGACAAATAAAAGATATATTACAACGTCTGTATTCCATAGCTAAATATATATTTTTGCGAAAAATGAAATACGAAAAAAATGAAAAAAAAAAAAAAAAAGTAGTAAGATTGTAAATTAACATTCACTCACCAGTAGATACTCTTTCCTTCCACTCGGAAGGCACATCATCTGAACTACAAATTTCGTTTAAAAAAATTTCACTTGCCTGTAAATTTCACATTTAGTATCATAATCAATTTTTGGCAATTTAATTTGCTATTCTAACCTTGTGACCTTGATTTACTAAAATATTTGCAGACTGGATATCATGATGAAGGTCTAATTATAACTTTTTTTTTTTTTATTTTTTTTAGAAAAATATATATATATATATATAAAAAAAAGACAGATTCAAAATTAACGATTACATTTGCTTACCTTAGAGATACGCGACACCATCATTCAGTAATCAAATAATACTTGAAATCCTCTTACATTAGCACAATTATATTCTATTAAATAAAATTTCCTGAGTTATATACCGAAAAAAAAAAAATGCAAATCCTTATGTAATTTCCAAAAATGTGTCAAAAATAAAACATTATTAAAATCGACGATTTTTTTTTCTTCTAGAACGCCAAAATGTTTAGTCTAGAAAAGCATTATATTCTAATCACATTTCCGTTTTTTCTAAAAATGCCAAGAGGTTTGTAAGCAGAATACATTTCCGAAGTGTAATAAATTTTTCAATTGTTTATTTTTCATAATAAAAAGTAATCATCATTCGATGACAAATAGACTCATTAAATCAAAATATGGGAAGAATGCTAGGTAATCAGGTTTTTGATTTTATGTAATAAGAAAAAAAAAATTTCTCAAAACCTGATTTTCCCAACAATATTCCCTTATATTGTTGTATTCGTTTATATTTATAAACAATTTTATAAAGTTAAAATTACGAAGCGATGATATCGCGAAGGAAAGGGAAGGAATTAAGATGTATTTATGCAAATAAAGGAAGACGAACTGTGCTAAAAGAACTTTTTAGATAAACCCAGCATATTCACAGTATATTAAAATAAATAACTTGGCATCCTAACAATATGGCATCCTAATTGATATGGTATCCTAATATGGTATCCTAACGACATGGTATCCTAACAATAAGATCTTCAAAGGCTAAAGTTATCGAAGGCAATTATAGAATTTATTATTTACCGATTTCTTTAAATTGGTTTTCTTGTTTAACACCTATTTGAAAAGAAATTCGGACAAGTCGAATGTATTTTATAATAAAATTTTGATATTTTGGTCATTTATAGGAAATTTAGTCATTTAATATATTTAATTTATAATTAACGTTAATACTAATTAGAACTATCGCGTTTTGAAAATTTATATCTGCATCATTTATTGTTTAATCTGAAAGAATGAAGAAAAAAAAAGATCTCAAAAATTATTTTGTTTTTTATTATGTACATAACATGTACCGCTAAAATAATAAGCATTGATTCGTAAGGATTCACAAGATCTTAGAAATTTGCTTTTTAGATATAAAAATGCACTGGCTTCGCTATTTTTTATCCGGTAAACAAATCGTGAAAAAATTTCGGTCGTAATGAAGTGATGTCAGATGTACCGATGTACCGATGCATTAATTGTATTAATTACTAAACTTTTTATTACCAAAAAAATCTTTCAGAAAAAATAATATTTATGAAATTCCATATTCATTGCATAAGTCTTTAGCTTTAGAATTAGCTTCCGCGGCAGCACTTTTTAAATATTGGGCACCTAGTACCTTATCTTGAACAATTCCATTGATACCATTCCAATAAGCTTTTCCAACGATAAACATGGCCGTTGCATCATTTGAATCAGCTGACATTTTTAAATATTTAAAACCCTCAACATAATTTTTTTCCTTTTGCCATAAATGCATTCCATACCTTAATTGAGCGGAAGAATTCCCTTTATCAGCAGTTTCTTTAAATATATTAATGGCTATTTTGATCCTTTCTTCCTCACTAATTAATTGTAATTCAGGTATATCTTCACCATGGTAAAAATAATAATATCCTACCCAATATTTTGCTTCAACATCGATTACTGAGTGATATTTGAAACTATCCCATGCAACCAATTTCTTTCCATGTTTAGATTTGTGTTCGCGAATTGCGTCGTACACAGTTGCGAGAATAGTTATTGATGTTGAAACGGTAGTCGCATTTTGATTATTTTTTACAGAATAATTTACTTTATAGTCCTTAGAAGGTGTCGGGGCTTCATTTTCATTATTCAAAACACTAGAACCGCTGTGTGGACGGGATGTACCCGAATATTGTTCCATCAATTTATAAAGTTTGCGACAAATAATAGAAATATTAGAACGCCAATCACGTTCGTATTCCATAGCTAAAAAAAAAATTTATTTACAAAAGAAAAAAATAAATAAAAAAGTTTCGATTTAAATTTAAATAAATTTGTAAATTGTAAATTTACTCACCAGTAGATACCATATCCTTCCATTCGAAGGGCACATCATCTGAAAGGGGTTCATAATATCTTTCTCGCATACGTTTTCTAACGCTATTAAGTATTTCTGATTTGTCAAGATCAGAATGAGGTGTTTTTAATTCTGCAATTTCCCACAATAACGCTCCAACGCTATAATATTAAAAAAGTCGATAAATTTTTTACATTTGATAAATCTTTAAATTCAAACACACGATTATTGCGATCTTGATTAAAATCTATATACCTGTAAATTTCACACTTCGTATCATAGTCAACCTTTTTCGTTTTATTATCCTTATTATTTTTATCATATAATAATTTTTCTGGAGACATATACCTTATATTCTCTAGATTATGTGAAATACTTCTTGTAGATTCTGAAAATTTTTTGCTTAGACCAAAATTTGCTATTTTAACTTTGGGATAATAATTTACTAAAATATTTGCCGATTGAATATCATGATGAAGGATCTAATCGTATAAAATAAATAATATGAATAAATATGAACAATAATAATAATAAAAAAAGTTAACGATTATACCTCACAATCATGAAGATATGCAACACCACGACAAATGTCTAAAGCGAATTTTATTTTAGTTTCCCAGTTCATCATATCTCTAAATTTGGTATAATATTCATGTAGGTTTCCATGTTCCATCCATTCAGTAACCAAATAATATTTGGAATCTTCTTGAGCTACACCAAAAAATCTTATAATATGATCAGAATTTTTTAATTCTTTAAGAATATTAACTTGTCTTCTGATTTCAAACTGAGTTTGCACCTCATCCGAAGATGTATTATTTGAAAATTCTTTAAATGAAACGTCAATACAATCTTTGACTGTAGTGCGTTTTTCAATCCTTCTTGAAGGACAAATATTTGTTCTAATATAAGAATTGCCTTCAAGTAATGGTTCGTTTGCTTCTACAGTTGTTTTAATTTGTTCAGATGAATTCGTATTTGGGGTAGTTTTGTTTTGTTTTTTGAATTCTTTGTTTCTTCCGGCCACTCGATCCATTCCAGTAAGGAATTTCTGTTGAGATTGTTTATCGTCAGAAACGCCATGAACGACGGTTAATATATCTTTGATTTGGCTTACATCATCCTTCATTGTTGCAAACTCATCTCTAGATTCTACCATAAAAGAAAAATTCAAACTATTCATATATGCGTCAAATTCCTTTGTAAGTCTTTGAAAAGTATCGTTGATCCCACCGGTATAAAAAAATCTTTGAAGTTTGTTTAAGTGACTAATATCTTCTATAAAGTTTTTGATTTCTCTTATACAATCAGTAAAGTCCTCTAATATTTTTAGATTATCATGTTTAACAAAAAACTGTGTATTTTCGGTTTTTCTAATATTTAAATCCTTTACCGCAGCATACGCACAATTGACTCTTTTTAAAAGGATACTACATAATTTTTTATTATGTTCAGCCTTTTCATACAACGTAATAATTTCATTTCCCAATGAAAGGAATGTTTTGATTACTGGATTAAATTCTTCAAAACTTTTAACTATACAATGTACTCCTTTTATTATAGTACAAACGTTAGAACCGCGACTGGTTAATTCCTTTGTACTTTCACAATCATCCATTGTTCTTTCATCATCTAAATTCACTTTACTTAAATCATTCGTTATTCTATTATCATCTTGTGGATTCATTGATGGTGAAGGACAAGGAGAAAGAGAAGGAGAGGGAGAAGGAGATAAAGATGAAATAGAAATCGCATCTACACTTAAGTTATTTTTGTTCTTCGATTCTCTATTTTGACGTTTTTTACTTCTAAACATAGTTGGTAATCAAGAGGGGGGAAGAAGAAGTTACATATTAACATTCGTAAAATTCCATTCAATTAAATAACATTTCCGGAGTTTTATTTCCGAATTATTTGCATTGCAGGAAAAAAAAATATATCCTTATGCAGTATATGCAGTATCCCAATATGGATTAAAATAAAAATTTTTTAAAATCGACTTTTCTTGAATTGGTTCATTGTTTTATTTACGAAAAGAATAAATTATGTTACACCAGAAATTTATTTTTTTTTATTTTTTTTGATAATTAAATATTTGATCGAATTTTCATTAAAATTGATTTTGGCACCTTTTTTATTTCCATTCCATTTCTGCGAATACTCAAATCGTTTTTCTTTCATAAAATAGTTTGCTTTCCAAAAAAAAAAAAGTTCACATTTTAATAATAAAGTCCAAGAAAAAAAAGTCTCGTGATTTAAAAAAAATCCGATTTTATTTTTTTACAGTATTTATTATATTAAACGTAACATATAATATGAACTAAATTAATCTTTATCGCGTCTCGAAATTTGTTCATTAAAAAATTTGATTCGCACTGATAAAATTCAAGATTTTTTATTACATGTGCATTTAAGAAACCATGGCTTGTGGATTTTTTTATTTAGACGGAATGAGAGAAATGGAAATGAATGTGTTTATATTCTACGCAACATTGTTAATTTTTGCAATATGAAACAGATAAAGAAACAAAGATATTTTTTGTTTTTCTATTACAATTATGTACATTGCAATGAAATATCGATCAAACATTTTGACATTTAGTAACTTTAATCCAGGATTCTAGTGTTAAAGAAGTAGTCATGAAGGATCTATTATCTTCATGGAAATCGATTCGGCTGACATCACCGGTTAATATCCTGTGATAAGAATATATTCTTTTTTTTATTGGGATTTATTTATTCACATCAAGAAAGTTTGTCATACTACGAGTTTTGGCATGAAAAATGAAAATTTTTATACGTTTAAAAAAAATGCTATTAAAATCGAGTTTACGAACATAGAACATCGTTAATCGTATGATCCGTAACGTGATTTTAATAGCAAACCTCCCAAATAGTGAAAAAATTTTAGTCGGAAGGGTAACGAGCCAAACTTTATTATATTAGCATTTAACTCAATTAAAGAGGACAAACATATTCTTTTTGGCGTTTAATCTTTTTTCAATTATTTAAAAAAAAATAATACTTTTATTAAATAAATTAGTGATGAATGAGTGTAGAACCAAAAAAAAAAGAGACTTCAAGAAAATAATGTTTACGAAATTCTATATTCTAAACATAATTCTCTAGCTTTAGGATGATCTGCCAAAGCAGCAGTTTTTAAATATTGGGCACCTAGTACCTTATCTTGAACAATTCCATTGATACCATTCCAATAAGCTTTTCCAACGATA